CCCCAAAACCCCAAAACCCCAAAACCCCATTATTAAACCCAGGTATTGAAAATAGCCGTTTTAAAATGTAACCACGAGGTGGCTTTTCCTAAAGATACTACTTATTTTTGGGAAAAGTTGTTACAGGCTCTAACCAGAAATCTTCAAAAGTTTCTGTTAGATATACTATGGGCAAAATCTAAAAAATACGTCATTTCTTTATTTAAGGAAAAGTAATATTTTGTTGCCTTTCTACCCAAAGTAAAACTGTCGTTGAGCATGTGGTTAGCGAAATTATTACTGAGAAGTTTATTTATGCCTCTTCTTCCAAGTTCTCTTCGTCATTGGCAAGATACACGTTGTTTATCTCATCGGATCCTCTATTGACTTTTTGTTCAGTATTTCCAATCTCTCCAGACTCTTTTTGTGTGGAATACTTGGAGATCGACCTAGGTAATCTTCCATCCCAGCTGACTTTCTTGTAAAGAAGGTATCCTTGGAAGAAAAGTCCGGCGAGTCCTGTTGCCAGCATGCTGAATCCGAAGAAAACTGAGCATGCGATTGCCAGGCCTTTTTCTCCACTAGCATCATCCTTCATAAAACCAATAAAGAGGAAAGCTACAAAAAGTGAGAAGCCTGCATTGCCAATAGCTACGATATTCTGAAGCAAGTGTCTAAAGGGTCTCACTATTATAAGATACGCAAAGAATAAAATATCCGTAACTATGAAAAATGCTAGCTGGACACCCTTCTTTTCAGAAAGAACGAGGAATAGAGCAAGAACAAAGTACTTCATGAAGAGAATAGTGTAAAACAGTCTAGCGATGTGATCTTCCCTGATTCCAACCCAATAGGGAGCTCTGAGCCTCTTTAAAAGAACTTTCCAATTTTTGTCATGTGCTAGTTCTTCATCTTCTATTCCAAGTTTTTCAGAGAAAGTAAATAAGATTGGTAGAGATCCAATAACTACCAAAGCAATGATATAGAAAATTGAGAGAAAGAAGGAGGCTGTCAATAGTGTTGTCTCCCAGTACTCCTCTGCAACTTCATTGATAGAAGTGATCGTAGAGTAAGGAATTGTAAATACGATCAAGTAGAAGTAAATATAGAACTCAAATGCACTCCGGATCTTTTTAACAAACTTCCATATTTCATGGTCAGAGTTTTTTACAACTGGAAGACAAGTTACTATTATTAAAATTGTATGGACAATCAGCAGTACTCCAACAAGCATCCACATGAAGATGTAATTAGTCGTTGCAGATCCTGCTGGAATCCTAATAGGGACGAGATAAGTATGACCTGTGAAGGGGACTCCATTAATGTACCCTCTTCTTCTAATGCTCATTCTGATATCTGTCGGATCCATGAACTCAAAATCTAACTTTGAATACGAGAGAGCCTGCACAAATTCGTGATACTGAACTGGCAGGAAGGAGTCTATTAAAGACATTATGTTTGCAGTGGCCATTTGATCAAAAGCCACCCCTAATAGTACTGGTGCTGTTTGAGTGAATCACGAAAGCAATATATTAAATGCTGAAGATACAAGAATAAAAACTCCAACTCCAGTTACGTCATTCTCACTTCCAACACTCCTCAGACCGATATGATACAGCTGTTCTTTGCTATATCTAGCAGTTTGAAGGGACCTTTGATTCCCTTCCTGAAATAAATCAAACTCAGGAAGTGTCTTTCCAAGAGTCTTCTGAAGAGTGGTATTATGCTCAAAGCCAATGTTTTCCGTGTCTTCCAAAAGTGTCGGTGGATGAACATCACCAGGAGTTGATACATTCGAGTCAAGAATGGATTGATCACCCTCCATTGCTCTGATGTGTCCTCACAACACTACGATGAAGATGATATAATATTTGTAGATACGCATTTACTTATTTTTAATTTTGAGATGTTATGACTTTAAATACTTTCCAACAATCACGTCATCACATGGGGTTTTGGGGTTTTGGGGTTTTGGGGTTTTGGGG